AATTATAACTTATTTAGTTTTTCTAAAATATTTTCTAAAATCTAAAAAATAGCATTTTTATAATTTTATAATTTAAAATTTTTGTGAGTTATTATACAATGATTAGGTCACATCACCTATCTCTTCAAAGAGAGAAATTCACTTTGACAAATATACTCTATTTTGAATTCTGAATTTTAATTATATCACCCCAAGTTTGATTACTTTTCTCACAAGTTTCCTATTACTGAATCTCATTGTGATACTTCTAAATGCAAGGAGATCCAAAATTATATTATTAGACTATTATCATAGAAGAAGCTTAAAAATTCTTAGATATTTTTTTTGTAGATAAAAGGGGGAGAAAAAGTGTATGTCTCTATAGAGATATATGGGTGTGGCCAACTTTCTCTCTCTCTCATCACCCTTATATATATAAGGCTTCTGCCCTCTTTTCATTAGAATATTATTATTTTTATCTTAGAGCTTTTTCCTACCTTTGTAACATTTTGTGCAGAAGTTTATTCAATTTGACACTACCATTTATACTTCATTTGATCAATGCAAATGAGTATTTTAGTATATCCATGACCACCTTCTTCCAACAATATAACATTCTCCACCACTCATTTTGCCCGCATACTCTGCAACAAAATGACATTGTCAAACACAAGCTTTATTATATTGTTGAGACTACTTGCACCCTTCTCACCACCACCCATGTGCTTTTATAATTTTAGGGGGGATGATGTTTTCACTACTATCTACCTCATTAATTAGATGTCATCTTTTATCCTTTGATATCATATTTTCTTTTCTATCTTTTATCTCAGCCACCCTCTCTTCATTTATCTTTGTACATATTAAGTTGTGTGTGCTTTGTTTCATCAGCTTGGACTAGGTCTAGATAAGTTTTACTTACGTCTGTGAAGTATATTTTTCTCAATTATTCTCGCCTCCAAAAAAGGTACCATTGTTATTGTCATCTGACTTATTGTCATTTTGTGTCTATAGATGTTCCTTTTTTTTAAGGGTCTCTTTTTTTGGACCGTCTACGACTTCTTCCTCCTCTTCATGTGTCTTTGGGCTCATCTTGCTAGTATTTTGAGTCTCTCTTTTCACCGATCTCATCTTCTTCTTTCTTTCTTCATGTGTCACAAATTTTTCTTTCGTCATCTATACTCACCCTAGATGGTTCCCTATTTGCACCATCCCTTATAGACCCAACACTATTATCTCCACTTGCACCATCCTTGACGTCAGACCTTGACCTTTCAATTGCCCTACAGAAGCTATCACGTTGCTATATCAAACAAGATATTTTCAACTTTGTTTCATATTCCCATCTCACCCCATCATACTATGCCTTTTTTTTTAGCATATCTTCTATTTCCATTTCCAAGATGATTTCTCAAGTATTGAATCACTCTAGTCAATCGTGGAGGAGATCAAGGCTCTTTGTTGTACCTGAACTTAGCACTTGATTTCTTGTCTTTTGTCAACTCTTATAGGGAGTTGTTGCTAGGTATTCACGATCAAGATGATTATAGATGATTTTGTTGATTGCCTCAAACTCACTTGGTGGCTTACAGATTTTTTTAGACATATAGAGAGGACCATATTGAGACTTTTTCCTCAATGGCAAAGTTTACTTCAATTGATATCTTGCTTGTGTTTGTAGTCTACTTCTCATAGTCTCTTCACTAGTTGAATGTGAAGAATATTTTTTTTCATAGCAAATTGAGGAGGTGAATTTAGAAAAACTTTAGTTTTATTTTGATTGACTCACCAAATTTTATGTGCTATCTATAAAAATCTATGGGCTGAAGTAGTCTCCTCAGACTTGGTTTAGTTGTCTCTGTAGGTTGGTTTAAGATTTTAGTCTTCGTTAGTGTGCCTCTAATTCTATCATATTCTATCATCACATTATTGTGACTTATTTTATTTTACTTGTCTATGTTGATGACATTATGACAGGTGATGATAAAGAAGATATCTCTGATTTCAAAGTCTTTCTTTAGAGCAAAGTGACAATCAAAAATCTGGGTCAGCATTAGTATTTTCTTGGCATTGAGATTGCTCACTCTTTTGAGGGCATGATTATCACCTAGTAGAAGTATGTACTTGATCTATTATAAAATGTAAGGATGTTGGCCATTAACTCTTACACTAATGGATTTAAAAGTCAATTAGTTTTGAATTTAGATAATGCTCTTAAGGATCATATTTGACCTTGACTCGTCTTGACATTTCTTTTGCTATGAGTGTGGTCAACTAATTTATGGTCAATTCATGCATTACTCACTAGAACGCAATCATGAGGATCCTTCAGCATCTAAATAGACATTCTAATCAATGACTTCTATACAAGTCTTCTTCTTCTCTTGATGTTTATGGACATTCTAATGCAAACTGGACAAGTTCTCTTATCGATCAGCACTCCACCACTAGTTATTGCATCTTTCTATAAGAGTAAAAACTAATATGTGGTTATATTGTCTAGTGCTGAATCATAGTATTGAGTTATGCAAAGTGTTACATGCGATCTTATTTGGGTATGTCAATTTCTTATAGAGCTTGGCTTCTTTTGCTTTAGTCTATACATCTCTTTTGCAACAATCATTATGTGTTTTACATTATTTTTAATCCTATTTTTTATGAACAAACAAATCATATTGAGGTTGATTGTCATTTTATTCGAGAGAAGATTCAAGCTCATCTAATTCTCCTGACTAAGGTGTCTTCAGAAGTGCAACTTGGAGACATGCTTATTGAGGTTTGATTTTTTTTCCTTCAAGCTTAGAGCTTTAAATCTTTATACTCTAACTTGAGAGGGGTATAAAGATATATGGGCTTGACTCAGTTTCTTTTTCTTTCCATTATAATATTATTATTTTTATCTCCAATCTCAAATAGGAAAAAATTTACACATTAGGGTGGGTAAGAAAACAAGAAAGAAAGAAATCATAGAGAAAGGGGGATAAGTGTAGTAGAGAGAGAAAGGGAGAAACTAAGCACATAATTATTTCATTTATTATCATGATTCAAAATTATGATAGAAAATATTAGTATCTATGAAGTTCATTTTTTTTCTTGCTTGTATGCATTTTTTGACCAAAGTATTGAATGTTTTTAAAAATTATTTCAAATTTGAATAAGCTATGTTGCCATTTATCTTATAAAAAAGGTTTTATAATCAAAAATCAGTTTCTGAATTTACCATTTAATTAATTTTAAATATGGATATTAAAACTTACTCAAAATACTAAATTCTTAGGATCTAATATCATTACTTTTGAGTATTACTAATATTGAATTAAATATTGAACCCATAGTATTTACTTACCACTTGGGATTTTTTAGAGCATTGATGGATATTAATTAGAAAGGGTTTCTAAATTATTTCCTATCACTAAAGTTATGATTCCTCATAATGAAATCATGATTTTATCAGTCTACTTAATAGTCATGATTTATTTATGATAATTTTGATAAGTATTGAATGAGAAGTTATTATTTTATTTCAAGATGTATTATCATTTCTTTCAATGATAATAGATTATTATTGGACCTATTCAAATTTATAAGCTTCACATGTATAAGTTGGTGATTAATAGTCATACTCATTAGTTTCTCTTAAATGATAGTAAAACTCTTAAAAGTCTTGTATTAATTTACAACTATTAGAACCCCTAACTAATGTTTAGATTTAACATTGAGAGAGGGCAAAAAATAGTGAAGGTTTTTTAAGCTAACATCTTTATAAATTCAGTATCTTTCTAATGGCTAATTAGTTATAAAGAATCACCTTTGACCCCCCAACGTTCACAATATTCTTGCTGACATCTTTTTCAGAAATATATGTAAATTTTGTGTGATTTTTAACAAATAGTGAGAGATATCTAAGTAAGAAATGAAATTCAATTCATTCACGATCTTCTTAAACCTAATTAAAATAGATAGTCTTCTACTACTAAATAACTTCTCAACGTATATAATTGTACTAATTAACTTACTAGGAAGGACAATAATGCATCTATTATTGTTCTAAATATATAATAATCATTATTTTCTACTAGTAGAGAATGGAGTGTAGCTTTGGTATGCGTAGTATTTGCATCAACTTAATACCCCTAATCTGAAAAATGTTGTTGGTCAAGCAAAAGAATGGAAGTAGTCCATGCATCAATAATAATGAACAATTTCTCTAACAAATGATCTTGTTTTGTTCATCCTCTTTCTTACTTGCAGAAGTTGCTTTTTTTTTATTGTATTCAAGGTAATGCTATGATTCATTATCTTACTAAATTTTATTCCTTGATTTTCGGCTTCTTTTTGGGTTTGACTTGAATATCATTTTGGGAAGTAATTTTACTGATATGAGTTACACTTTTATAGTAAGGTAATACTTTTAGCTCTAATTTATTTATAGCAAAATTTTGAATTTAACATCTAAGCTCAACTCTACGAGAAAGATGAAAGTTAAAGTTTTTGATGTTGATTTAAAATAGAATTAATTACTATATGTACTCGTACTATGTTTAAGCAATAATCTAACATTAAAAATGTATTTGAATTCATAAAGTACCTATTTTTATATTTTTTCCATTCAAATCGGAAAGTAAACATCTAGGAATCGAGTAAAATTATGTGACTTAGCCCTACTCTCCATTCAAGTGACAGGACTGGAGAGAGCTATACCAAGTAGAGTTGTGCATAGTAATTTTGACATCTCAAGATAAAATACTCATGAAAACCTGAGCAGTTGTGTCGAACGGTCTTCCTAGGGCCTTCCCGAGAGTTGGTGAACCATGACGGCAACCTTGACGGGAGCGTCGATTCCTCCATCTCCCCCAAAAGCTTCTTTCTCCTCCCGCCCGAGGGCAGCGTTTCCTGCGCTGAAGATCGCTGCGACCCACCAGCGGCCGCTTACGAGGGAGGAAGAGGACGAATGGGGGGCGCAGATCCGCCTGTATTCCCGCGACGGGCGACCGCAAGAAGCTCTCACTCTGCTTCGAGAGATGATGCTGAGGGCCGACGACCACGGCGGACGCCCCCCGAACAGGGTATTTCTCAGTGCTGCGCTCCGTTGCTGTGCCGCTCTTGGTGCCGTTAATCTGGGGCGAGAGGTGCACGCCATCGTGGTGCGGAACGCCGGCTGTCCCGTGCACCGGCGCCATACCGAGACCTCCCTCATCGATTTCTATGGAAGATGCGGGTTTCTCCAAGATGCACGTCTTGTGTTCGACAGAATGCCCGAGAAAGACGTAGTAACTTATACCGCCATGTTATCGGCCCACGCCGACCGCGACGGTTTCGAACACGATATGACAGCGCTGTTCCGGGAGATGCTATGCTGCGGCGTCGAGCCAAACGCTCACACTCTCACGACTGTTCTCCGTCGGGTGACCCTGCCGCAGGGCCGCCAGATCCACTGCCACGCCGTCAAGAGGAATTTGCAGTCAGGCGCGTACACCGGTAATGCTCTGGTGGACATGTACGTCAAGCATGGTGCGGTGGACTGCGCCGAGAGGGTCTTCGCGGGCATCAGTAACAAGGATACGGCCTGCTTCAACAGTCTGTTGACCGGTCGAGGAAGGCGTGGAAGCGCGACCGGCCTCGTCGCCGCATTCCTTGATATGGGTCTAGCGGGACTCGTAGGGACCCAAGCTACCTACGTTTCTCTGCTGAATGGATCCGCGGCCCTTGGCCTCCCAAGCCTGCCGGAACAGCTTCATGCGCAGGTCGTAGTGAACGGTTTCGTTTCCGACCAGATGGTACAAGGAGCCCTACTCGACGCGTACGCGAAATCCGGTTATCTGGGGGCAGCTTGCGCCGTCTTCAGCCAGTTGGGCGGCGCTGGGGCGAACGTCGTCCCTTGGAATTCCATGATCAGTGCATACGGGAAGCATGGGCGGGGCAGAGAAGCTCTCGAAGTCTTCAGGCAGATGGAGGCAGCCGGCGCTCGTCCCGACTACATCACTTTTACTTGCCTCCTGTCAGCGTGCAGCCACTCCGGCCTGGTGGATGAAGGATGGAGGCTGTTCAAGCTGATGGTTGACGCTTACAGAATTCCCCTGCGGGACGAGCACTATTGCTGCGTGGTGGACATGCTGGGCCGCTCGCGTCGGACGCGGGAGGCCCACGAGTTCATCCTCGCGCTGAATCACAAGGTCGATGCTTCTGTCTGGGGGGCCCTGCTGAACTCCTGCAGAATCTGGGGAGACGTCCATGTCGCGGAGGCCGCCGCCGAGAGGCTGTTCGAACTGGAGCCGCACAGCTCCGGTTCGTACATGGCACTTGCAGCCATCTATGCGGCACACGGGCGGTGGGGGGACGCCGCAGCTGTCAGGGCGCTGATGAAGCAGCGTGGGGTAAAGAAGACGGTAGGGCGCAGCTGGACGGAGACTGACAGTGTGGTCCACAACTTTAGATCGGGGGAAGCCTACCAGCTTCCCGCATCACTGCAGAATTGAAACCACACCATTGCCGCCAGTCGAAGCTGGAATTCATGCACTTAGGTCACGGAATCAAGTAATTCCAAAACAGGGGAAGAGAGATTACCCAATTTACTTCCATTTCAACATTAGATCTACATTACTCACCATAGCTCCTGGCAGTTCCAAGCAGCAAAGACTTGCAACCGGAACCAGGGAGGTGACACCCCTTAAGAGTACGACTAAACTAGAGAAGAAAGAAGGAAACTTTATGTTAGGGCAATGGTGTCGTGGGTGGGAGCGAGGATGGGCTAGCGCCCAAATTATTCGTATTTCAGGGAGAAGTAGGCCAATCAAACCCGGCAGAACCTCCATTAAACCCACCGCCATAGAACCTGACTTCCAGCCCTTCCAACCCCTGGCCATCGTCCCATGCTCCGTCGTCGTCGTCATCATCACTGAAGCCGTCATAGTATTCTCCAACCACGTCGTCCATGAACTCCCACGACAAGTATCCAGACGAATCTGAGTAGTTGGAGCACTCATCCCAGTAATTCATCTCGTAGCTGTCCACAATCAACGGTCCCAGAACCTTCAAGCCCGAGTATTTCTCCTTCAGGAAGTTCTCCTTGAGCTTCACATCCCAGCAGCCCCGAATGTCCAGGAATCTGAGTTCCCTGCACTGAGAGAGGATGTCAAGTATCCCCACATTTGTGAGGAGAAGGTAGGCGATCTCAATGTGCTTGAGCTTTGGCATTGTGGAGGCGATTGCGTGGGCCTCATCATCCTGGCATACTTTCTCCGCCACCTCCACTGGATGCATCACACGCTTCAGCCCAACAAGAGCCTTGCAGTGCTTCCCAAATGCCTCCAGTGCGCGAGCGCCTATCTTGACACAGTAGCTCACATCCAGGAAGGTAACATTGGAGAACTTCCCCGCAACTTCCTCCACAATTGGGTCACTTATCTCGCTCCTCGGCATCTCAAGAGTCTGCAAGGAACTGACGCTGGCAAAAAGAAGAAGAGAGAAAATGTGGAGTTGTGAGGCAGATTGATTTCTCTATGCAAAGTGCGATGAGTAAATTTCATGTTGGTGCGAAAATCAGGGGCTTGGAAGGGTGCAAATCTAATGTCGGAAGTCTAAGCCAAAGATACTTGCTAAGTCCAGTGGTGCTTTCATAAGCGTTAACATAAATGGAGACTTGTTTGGTCGTTAAACCAGAAAGTAAACAAGCATGCTTTGCTTCCTTTTATGGGTAACAAAGAAAAAGTTCATCATAGTTCTTTGTACATTACGTTAATGCAATGTTTCTAGTGACTCACAAAGGAGAAATCAAAAGATAACTGAAGACACCATGGATCACAAACCCCTCTGGCCACTAATGGCAATCCGAAAAATCAAAGTTCCAAGTTCCTCTTCCCTTTCTGGGAGAATTCATTGGATTTCTCAACACATTAATGCAAAGTTCTAATAAACTACAGTCAAGTTAGAGGTTTAAATAGAGTGGAAGACACTGCAGATCATTAAGTCCCTCCACAAAAAACTGCTTCGACTTTTCCTATTCAAGAACGATTCAAAATCTGTTTCTAAATTGATGAACTTCACTATGCAGATGGCAGAGTCGGGATCAGAAAAGTATCTCGAACGCCAACTGGGAAGGCAACATATTGTGAAATATTGAAGCTTGGTTTCAGCGGTTTAGACAAACAGAGTTTCTGAATTGAAACGCGAAACCAGAATTTCTTACTGGTTGGCAATGTAGCGAAAAATTGGGTCGTTGGGGAGGCTGGACACAGAGAGCCTGCGAATGGAGCCAGAGCTTCTGGGAATGAGCAACTGAAGCATCCGACTGATGAGTTCGGGCTTGGACCTCTCACACCATTCCTCGATGTCAATTTCTTGCCAGCAGTAAGGCCCGGCCACTGCTCCTCCCCAGGATTTGCAAACCCTGGGGACAACAGTCAGGACGTCCTGGAGAGAAAGATATGAGAAGATCAGTCCCAGTGCATCCGGGATCATCTCATCCCAGCGTCGGAGTTCGCTGCTCTCGCCCATGTTCCTGTAGCAGAAGTCAAAAGTTTTCCAATCTGCAAGAATCATGAAGAAACACCGAATCAGTGCAACGAAGGCCAGAAAGTCTATCCTCCGATCTTCAAATATGTCACGGGAAGAACTTAGTCCATCGCCTCGTACAAACGAAGGATTCGAGTCATCAAGAGTGTCAAAACGAACGATTCCGCCAACATACCCCGAAGAAACGTATTCCAACGAAAACACACTAGAGGCACAGATATTAAGATTACAGTAAGTGGAAGGAGACCGCCGTTCTTGCCTTAGTGAACTAAGGAGGGGAAAAAAAACGGAGATGCTTCCTTGTCTATTATAATTGAAGACATGGGAGAACATGAGCCGGGGATCCAGATGGCAAGCGGACAGGGGCGAGTGCAAAAGGCCCTGGAAAGACGTTAATCGCCAACTGAAACCAGAGTGAAAAGGAGGAAACTTTAGACTGTTAGAGAACCAAAAGCCACCCGAATCACCCAATTCCTGCTTGTCGGTCAAATCCATTAAAGACAAGTAAACGTTAATGAAACCCAAGAAATAGTAGTTCACTTCTCAGGGATTTTCGTTGAAAATCACAGTAGGCAGCGATTCAAGGCAGCCCCAATGATGATTGAGGAAGACGATCTCATTACGGCGAGCTACTGTGCGATCTCAGGAGATGGGATTTGAACAAAACAAACGCCCCTAAACCCCTGGAAGACAATGCCGTCTGCTCCGAGACAATAATAATCGGAACCAGTGCGGCACAGGCATGGAATAGGGAACCACGATATGCGAAGAGGATGGGTGAGGTGAATCACGGTCCACTCACTAGGTAAGCAAGAGAGTCGAATGATTACGGGCACCTGCAAACGGTTGATTGGGCCGAGGAACAACAAAGAGGGCGAAGGTCGTGTAGAGAAAAGAGGCAAAAGATAGCAGCGACAAGCAAGGAAGCCCCCCATCCATTACAGATCAGCTAGCTTGAGCATCATCTCGGACAAAGGAGGAAGAGATAAATGTCGATTTCTTTGTACGTCAACGTAAAAATGGGGAAGGCAGACACCATTGCGACCCAAAGATCCCATAATATCAAAATGGCGGATGCAGAAACCATTACGAATCAAGGAATCCAGATTGTAGAAAGGGGAACTGAAGAAAAGACCCCTTTCAATTACAACATGCGAAAATTGTTCTCGCTGAAAAAATTGTGTTCCCTGAGAAATGGGACTATGGGGTAACATGGAAGATAAAGAGGGTTACCTTTCGTCGGAGCAGGAAGACGGACAAGGAGGAATCTTCCTTCCCCTCCCTCGCCGATCTGCCGCAGCAGACTGAGGTGGACTCGCCGGCAAATCGGTCTGGGGATTATATTACGAATAAAGATTTACAAAAATATACTTATTGGTTACCCTACATGTTGAATTATTCATTTATTATCATTACATGAATGCCACCTAAAATCTTTGCACTCACACGTACTTTCATATAAATTAACTAAAGTTAAAGGATTATTAGATTTCTTGAAATATTGAAATTAATCTACAAGTTGAGTGAAAATGAGAAATACTAGGACTAGGCACACCTGGAGAGGGTAAAAGATCGATATCGGAGGGGGCGGGGGAAGGGGGATGCGTGGGGAGAGAGAGAGAGAGAGAGAGAGAGGAAACCGAGTTCAGGGAAAAGAGAGCCGAAGAGCACAGGCCTAAACCCTAAAACCAGACTAAGGATGAGAGACATCGAGTGTAACCCAATAATGTGTTGAGAGAATTACGTTAGAGAATAATATTGATTGCCAAACACACTCATCGGATAACGTTTGCGTAATATGAACTCGCGTGGCGTGTCTTCGAACTACGATGATGGAGGGAGACAAAGAACGAGATCGTCCGCAAGAGCACTCCAATTTTCGAGAAGACTGGCAAATAACTCTACCACTGCCGTCGCACCGGCTACGAGAAAGGCAATAACTTGAGGGCTCTCGACGTTGGGAAAGGAGATCCTATGCGGAAAGCTGGGGGTGTTTGCTACCGCCCAGGCCTTCCTATTAAAACAAGCAGGGGCTCCTTCACTTTGCCGTCTATTTGATCATTAAACATGCCTTGCAGGCCGGTGAGCAGTATCTGCGTATAAGGCCTCTGAACACCATTTTATACTGTATTTGAATTGATCCACGCAGATACGCGTAAACATCGACTAATCTGAGTTACACACATGGCCATGCCCAGAGGTGTCGACAGGTCCGGCAGATGATCCTTTAAAACGATATAACAGCCCCTCCCCCATTCTTTCGGGATATCAGGCAGGGAGAGTCTAGAGCTGTAAATCTGAAGCTTAGTTTCTTCTGGTCTCAGCGCTGACCTCAGGCTTCAGATCCTCCCTCTTTCCCTCACTCGATCGCTCGCACAGTTAATTACGGCTCTTTTTCCTCCCATTGATGGTGCTAATCTGTGACGATATTCGTGCTCCTCTCCTCCAAGTTCCGCCTTTCAATGCCATTAACTGCACCCCCGCTGTGTTAAGTCTCTCTCTGTGAGCGACTCCGATAAGCCTTTATTGTTGAACGGCTGCCTTTGTGTTGTAGTTGCCCACACACCTCCTCTCTCAGAGTGAAAGCCTTTTCGTTGAAGTTCTGTGAATATTTACAAGTCATATTGGGCTGACCCCAGCTCCTCCTCTCTCTCTCTCTCTCTCTCTCTCTCTATCACTTTGGTTGAAACTGGGAGGGCTGGGCGCTTCCTCTGGGCGGTAGCTGGGCTACCGGGGAATCCTTTCGATCGGATTAAACAATGGCTTTTGAGTGGACGGCCCAAATAGCTCAGAAATGGGCCGATTGTCAAGTGCAGGTCCAACCCCAGAAAGCAGCGCAAACTAATGTTGCACAAGTAAAAATCCACAGTCATGGGATAATCTTTACAACTCTTTATTATAGTCTCTTGTAGGTATTATCAGCGTCGATTGTTAACAAAGCAGACAGTTCTGGGTGAACTATTCAGAAAAACTCTAAATATTTTTTTTATACTGGAAGATAAAATTGCAAGAGGAAAGGTAGGAAATATACATATAAATATTTACCGGTACATCATGTAAAAAGTTGGGTTGTTAGGTCTTAGATGAGTAAGACATGCTGTTCACACATGCTGCCTAGCACTGCTCGTTTGCCAAGAGCTGAGTTTTTTTTTGATAACCTGTAAGCTTAGAAGGGCATCAATGTCTTCCATGATCCACCTCCACTGTTCTATCACTTGATAGATGGTTTAAACTTCTATCATAGCATTATTCCCTTAATAGGCAGCAACCATCATATCTATTACTATATAGATTGGGAGGCAGCATAGCCCAACCTAAATATCATGTCTACTGTTTTGACAATTTCTTGACCCAATAAAAACTAAGTTGAACATTGGATTCATAGAGAACTTTAGATCCTTAAATCCTCAAAGACAAAAACTATTATGGTCCTTGGATCCACACGAGTATACAACAAAATAATTTAGTACCAAATCAAAAAAATTAATTTCTACATTTTTATTAGATAAATTAAGAAAAAATAAAATTTGAGAATTGCAAAATAATTATGAGAAATGACTATATAAAATAAATTCAGTCACTAGAATAAGAGATAAGATCTTCATGGATAATATTATTGGGCCATCTAAAATTGTTATTTTTGGGCCTTAATAAGTCTCTATTATCATAAGTTAATAATTAGTTAATGATATATTTTATACATTAATTGATGATAAAAAATCTTATATTTATCTTAAATCAAGAAAAATAGTTTTTATGTGATTAATGTAATGATTTTATATGAGTTTTATATTCATATTCTCAAGTAAAAATAAAATAAAATACAAAAATATCAAAAGGGGAGGGGCTTGTTGGCCAATTAACACTTGGTAGTTGACCCATATAGCATTGTGCTTAAGTGAGTGGACCCCAATTGGGCAAAATATGAGCTGGGCTCTAGTGGCTGACCCAAGGACATGTATGTGTCACTCTTTTTTCACATCATCATGAGGTAATATATGATCTCATCACAAGTGTGTTGCATGAGGGTAGACCACCTGCTATCTATTCACCCCAAGTGATCCTAGTTATTTTTTTTCAAGAGAAGACAACTTAAAACTTACATAGCCCCTACTTATATAGATCTAAAACTCTTAAAAATAACAAATGTGGGATGAAACCGCCCACAACATTCATCACCCAAAATAATATCAAAAATATCCTTACATAAATAAAACATAAATATGAAGGATATAATGGGAAATTATTTGTTATTTTTATGTAGCCAACTGATCAATGAAGATTCAAAGCTCACCAATGCCAATATATATTTTCTTCTATTTTAACTCAATTTTTCTGTAGGAAAATAATCAATAGAAAAAATCGAGAAAAACAAATGATCGTCAATGAAATTTTCATCAACAAAAAATGAAGATCTTAGATTGCATATAAAGACAAATTCAGGCATAAAAATAAAAGTTTTAGAAGAATCACATTCCTTGTTCTTAGTCAATGAACAAGCTGTTGTCAAGAGTAGAGGGATCCACCACAAGATTTATCATAACTTCTTTAAAGTGCTCCATTTGTAATATGAGTGTTCTCTTATTGCATGGACCCAAGGATGAAGCTCTCTAAAATGCACTCTACCTCTTTTGATCTTAACTCCACTAGGTGACAACCATCAGAGACATGTCTCCATCAACTTCTATTCCACTGAGTGACAACCATTAGAAATACTTTAATGCCACCCACCTTCACCTTCTAGACTTCGCACAAGAATTTAAAGAGTGTCTATCTTTTTACTATGCATGTCCAAAGAGAGTCTTTGAGGTCATTACCATCCTTCAGAAACCTTCACATACATAATTTCTTCAATTTCATATCTTCATCTCAAGTCTTTGATTTCTTATGATCCATTAGGCACTTATAGATCTCAATTTCATTGATTGAATCTTCTAAAATTGCTTTTGTAATAATCACAATGCATAATTATATTTTCTCTT